CTGTGAGAACTGGACCATAAGGAAGGCTGAGCGCCAAAGGATTGAGGCCTTTGAATTGTGCTGCTGGAGGAGACGCCTGTGAGTCCCTTGGACTGCAAGGAGATCCAACCGGTCAGTCCTAGAGGAGATCAACCCTGAATGCACTTTAGAAGGCCGGATCCTGAAGATGAAACTCAAATACTTTGGCCACCTGATGAGAAGGAAGGAGTCCCTGGAGAAGAGCCTGATGCTGGGAACAATAGATGGCAAAAGAAGGAGGGGACGGCAGAGGATGAGGTGGCTGGATGGGGTCACTGGGTGTGGGCTTGGGTGGACTCCAAGGGATGGTGGAGGACAGGAATGTTGTCTATGGGGTCATGATGGGTCAGACATGACTTCGCGACTAACAACAGCAACAACAACAACAGATGCCCTCCCTGTTCTACAGGCTCACTTTTACACGCTCCTATCTTTGAAACATGGGGCCTTTGCGTCCTCCTTTTTTGGGGGGGGGGCAGGGGCCCCAGAGGGCAGGTGGGGGCAGGCAGCAGGCTGGCTCTGGGCTGCGCATGGCCTGTTTCCATGCTGTCTCTTTTCTCCCCCACGGATTCCGGCACCAGGAACGCTGGATTCTTCATCGGAAAAAATGCAACTCCTGGAGCTTGTGGGAGCGTGATTTGGTGTGATTTGGAATTGCAGCAGCAATCGCTCCCTCACTGCCTGCCTGGTCCTGCCATGGAAATCTTGATGAGGGGAGGGGAGGGGAGGGGAGAGGAGAGGAGGCGGCATCGTGGTGGTGGTTTTGGTAGCCGGGCGGATGTTCCAAGCACCAGGAGATCTGGACTGCGGTTTTGTGTTGTGGACCTTGTACAACCTCCTGCGCTTTTTATGTCACAGCCAGTTTGCGTCTGCCTCCAATCCCTGCCTTGAATCCCACAGGGCTTATTTTATTTATTTATTTATTTTTCACATTTATAGACCGCTGAATAGCCCAACAGGGCTCTCTCAGTGGCGAATAACCATGACATTGAGGCTAACGTCACAATTCCACGTATGGGGCAGGGGAAGGGGAGAGGAAAGCTGCTGGTAGCGGAGTGGGCTCTTACAACGAGCTGCTGAAGGCAGGTCTCAGAATACCTGCAAAAGGGGAGTTTTCACCTGACTCTGGCATGAAATTAGTGAGAGCACCAGGCAGACCACTCTAGGAAGCCTCTTCCAAAGGAGGGGGCAGCCACCAAGAAGGCCCATCTTCCAAATGCCATCCCTTTCGCTCCTTTCAGGTACGGCTCCTTCAGACGAACCTTATTCCCAGGGCTTTGCATGTTAAAATAACCCCAGGCTGAGCCTGGGCTTCAACTAGCAACCAGTGCATTTTATGCAGAATTGGTGTTACATGGGCACGTGAACTGTTACATGACACCACTTGCGCGGCCCTGTTTTGGGCTCTTGCCCAAAACAGGAGGGTACAGGAAATGCTGCTGTGATGAGGAGGAGACCCACAGCCCCTCTGCCCAACTCCCTGCAGGGTCTCTGCTGAACAGGTGTGGCTCTGTGACTCACCTGTCCGTGACACCAGGAGTGGATGCTCATACAGCAGGCAGGCAAAACCCAAGGGGAGTCAGCAAGGATCTTCTGGATCCTTTTGGTCCTGGTCACCCCACTCAAGATGAAGAACAGGGCTTCCATGGGAGGTGGCTGAGGCCCCATTGGTGAGGGTGTTCAAAGATAGGCTGGACATGCACATGGTGGGCATGTCGTGAGCGGAGCCAGCTGGAGCCGGGGGTCAGACTAGATGGCCCGGGAGACCCCTTCTGACTTGCTCTGTTTCTATGTTTCAAGCCCTTGGTGAGTTGCTATGGACCTGAAACAGGATATTCTTGGCACCCCCAGAAGATTACAGCCAACTCACTTCCATGGACTACCGCCCCCATTCAACACGTATTGCCCTGCCCATTCTGTGGTGGCTGCGCCTGGAGTTAGTCTCAGAAGGAAGAAGAGAATCACCCGCCTTAGATATCAGCAAGAAAGCCTGAAGCATGGTCTGAAGGTGAGAGAGAGAGAGAGAGAGTCGGGTCCACTCGACTGCACCCATTAGAAAAAGAGGGGTGCAGTGCTTGGAGTGCGGCCCCTCCAGGGCGGATGGAGAGAAGGAAACGTGTCCTAACCCGTCAGCCAGCTAACAATTCCATGCTCGTTCTGGATCCCTTGAGGGAGCACCTGCGTCTTCCTCAGCCCCACTGCTGTTACGCTTTCTGCCAAAAACAGAAACAACAAAGCGCCCGCCAACTTTCACCCTCTCCGTACAAAGAGCGAAACAGGAACTGTAATGCCCTCCCCTTTGCCCCCACGAAGGTGCAAACCCACATCCCGACCCGGCACCCAAGACGAGCTCAAAGGCCCTGGATGAGCCAGGAAACGTGTCTGTCAAAGGCCGCGAACCACATCCGACCCCGCAGCTACTTCTGCTCTTTTGTGGGGCCAAAACCCCTTCAGAAAACCCAAGAGCATGAAGGAAGCTGCATCCCCATCACAAGTGATGGCACAGAACACCAGGACTAGGAGCCCTGGAGGGCCACCTCCTCCAGGAATTTGACCAATTGCCTCTTAAAGTCATCCAAAATGGGGCCATCAGACCATCTTCTGGGAGTTGACGCCACAGTTTAATTATATGCAGTGTGGAGAAGGACCTCCGTTGATCTGTCCTGGATCCCCCACCAATCAGGTTGCACCTGATCCTAAAAGCGGCTAATTCAGGCCTGAATCATACGTAAGTGTTTATTTATTATATTTTATATTGCCCATTACCTGAAGCTCTCTAGATCAGTGATGGCAAACCTTTTAAAGACCAAGTGCCCAAACTGCAACTCAAAACCCACTTACTCATCGCAAAGTGGCAACACTTCAATAAAACCTGAAAACACATCACAGCCAGTCCAAGCAAATACATATACATATACACACATATATATCCCCTTGGCAGTGCAAGGACTCTGATGAGGGTTCCTTTTCTCAAGGGTAGAAAGGGAGAAACAAGCCAACTTGTGAGGAAGAGGGAAAAGCAGGGGATGCCCTCTGCCCTTTATCCTCGTCTCCACATAAGTGATCTGACGAAGTGAATCCTTGGAGATTCGGGAAGGACAAAGGAAGAATTTCTTCACACACTGCTTAATTAAACTGCAGGATTCACTGCAACCAACGTTACTGATAGGAAAAGTTTTCTTGGGAGATGAAAGGAATTCATGCAAGGTGCCTTTATCAATGGCCCCTGCAGAGGACGAGCAGAAGGTTGTGTTTCTGTTCACGTCCTGCTTGTGGACGTCCCACTGGGCAGACGTTGCCCCTTGCTGGGCGGAGGGGCTTCCGCTTCCGTCCCCCGTGGGGCTCTTATGCTCTCCTGCAACTTCTGGAGGATGCAATTCCCACGGCACTTCATCTGAAGGTCAGCATTGTCCACTTCTCTCCTTCAACGCCCCTTTCAGATATGCAGCAATAAGAGTCTGGAAACAGAATCGGTGCCTGCGGTGCCCCCATAGCATAAGGCTTCTGTGAGGGAACTTTCCTGGGATGCCCCGCACTCTGCTGAGCTCCGAGGGGGAGACGTGACCCTGACATGTTCCGCTCCGGCGGGGCAGCCAGTGAGACGACACACGTTCTACAGGGAGCTCCCCGGGCAGCCCCCCGAGGAACTGCCCCGAAAGGGGACGGGCCCTCCTGCCGGGAAGTACAGGTGTGCGTACTGGATCTCTTCCGGAGGAGGGGAAATCCAGTCCCTGCCCAGCAGCAGGATTCGCATAGGCGTTAGAGGTGAGTCAGGGAAATGGACGGTGGAGCAGGTGTGATGACGACGGTGATGCCTCTTTCCCCACGCAGAAGCCTTATGCCATGGGGGCACAGTGTTTTTAAATGCGACTGTGATATAAAACGTAGGTTCCTGGACCGTTGAATTAAGAATATTAGTAATGATTTTTCTATACTGCCCAAAAGCCGAAGCTTTCTCTGTGCTCTACAACAGATAATAAAACAGAACAACCCAATTTCCACAGATAGCGAAAATGCTGATCTTAGAGCAGTGAAGGAAGTGGCTCCAGAGCCAAGTTCCTGATTGGAGTGTTGAGTATTTTTGTCCCCAAGGCAAAGAAATAATGAACGGCAAGTAGATATTCCCGGCCTCAGAACGATCTGTCCTCGCTCTTTGTAGTACAGAAGCGGGAAAACAGCAAAAGAGCTGCTTTGTTTCCGACTGAAACTACTGTAAGCAGTTCCAGAAAGTTCTCCATTATCCGTCACTGGGACGAATGTCCATTGTTAAGGCGATTCCCACCTCCTGCATAGTTTTTTACCTGCTCTCGACCGCCGCCCCCAAGCACACCTCCAAGCCGCAAGCTGAATGCCTTTCCGGAAGGCTGGCTGTCTTCGGAGCCGCTAAACGGGCTGGCTACTCTTCAAAGGTGCCTGTAGCGGATACGTGACCATCCGCTTTGGTCGCCTAGCTCTAGCTCTAACTCTAGCTCGCTCAGATTAGAATTTTTGAAAGATCGCGACTTGGGTTAGGTCTGGAGAGCACAACTGCACCCGAGGAGTGAGTGCACCTTGACTTAAGCAGCTTGAAAATGTCATTAAGAACCACCGATCATTTTACACAGAAAAGCCCTACAAAGCCAGCATTCTCCAGCGAGTGCTGCTCGTTGCTGGATTTCTCCCTATAGTGTGTCACAACTAGAGGCTAAAAATGCAATGGGGTTAAGTGAGGCGTAGTATCGCTGTCGTTGCAATGGAAGTTGCCTTCCCTGGTTCTCAAACCTAACTCCTAAAATAACACTTGAAGGAAAAGCATTTAGCACTGGTGTAGAGGCTTGTGCTACTAAAAAGATCTTAAGGATTAAGTTGAAATACAGCAGTGCACACCCAGAGCTGGCCTTGGAGCACTCCGAGTGTTAGTGAACCCAAAGCAGGCTAGGAGGCGAATCACAGCAACTTCCTACACTCCTATTGTCTATTTACTAGGACTTCGAAAGCGTGTATGAACTTAGCCAGTATCTTTATGCATTTGCTGTCTCCGGATCCCAAAGACAAAGCAATCCTTCATTTTAGATTTAAATGTGTCGATCCCCTTATCATAAATAATCCCAACCCACCTAATATCCAAACCGTTTACACGCCGAAGCAGTTCTCGCGCTGGCCGGCTGGCACTGCGCCGATACGCTCATCATCCACAAGTGAAAAGACAGCTTTTTCCAGGCAAAAGTGTGCGGCCCTTAAAAGGGCCTTTTGAGTCGTTCTGCTACCGGGGGGTCTGAAAATTAACCGCCGAAGCCGTAGAGAGTGCGGCCCTGGCGCTTGAGCGCGTACACCACGTCCATGGCGGTGACGGTCTTGCGCTTGGCGTGCTCGGTGTAGGTCACGGCGTCGCGGATCACGTTCTCCAGGAAGACCTTGAGCACGCCGCGCGTCTCCTCGTAGATCAGCCCTGAGATGCGCTTCACGCCGCCGCGGCGCGCCAGGCGGCGGATGGCGGGCTTGGTGATGCCCTGGATGTTGTCGCGCAGCACCTTGCGGTGCCTCTTGGCGCCTCCTTTGCCCAGGCCCTTCCCGCCTTTCCCGCGACCAGACATGGCTCCACAGCGACAAGTGAACAGCTAGAAGCACGCAGATCAAATGAGCAAGTAGCAGCGTCCGACAGCCCTTTTTATACAGTCATCCCCGACCACAGAGAAAACTGGGAGGCAAAATTCTTTTTTTTTAACTTGAGTACCGCCCTCTGTAACGTCATAGGTCGAGCTCCCTACCAATCAGCATTCGTGCGTTTTAAACTATCGAATCAGAACCGAATACTAGTCCCCGCCAATTATTTTGAAAACACTATAAAATGAGAGTTTTGAAAAACTCAGGGTAAAAAGGAGTATATAACCGGTGACTAGCCAAACAAGGGAGGCTGCTTAGGAGACGTTTCACGAGGCTGTTTCTTGTCGTGGACTATGAGTTTGTGAACCGATGCTCTCGAAATTTTGTAACAGAATTTTTTTGGTCTTTAGGGTGACACAAATTTGTTTGCTGTTTTTGCTGCAATGGACTCATATGGCTAATTCTCTGAAAATTAGTAGATGCTCCTGAGTGAAGGATAAACCTTGGATTTGACTGCATCATAGGATTGTCATGAAATATTTTGTTAGTACTTCCAACTAATTTAAGAATTTTACTTAAGGTTTTAAGAATTTCACTGCAGGGTTGTTCATCAACATGCAACATTAATATTGGACTGATATGATTGTTAAAAGTTACTGTTCTGTATTAAAGGGTTGTTACATCTTTTTCTTAGGAAGTAAAAGTACAAGGTAGCCATAGAAAGCAATAAAGAAATCCAAGACTTGAGATAAAGCCCTGACCTGAAAAGCAGAACTAAAGGTATAAGTGCCTTTTTCCCAATTAACTTTTTGTATGGAAATAATGTTTTGCTTCCTTTTATACTAGTTTTCTAATTTTAGATTTATTTTTTAAATCATGCTGTAATTTTATTATTTAAAACTTTTATATGCCGTCCCTTACGCCTGGCATCTCAGGACCGCTTACAATCATTAAAACAAAACACAATAAAACAACCATCTCAATATAATAACAATCAACCAGAAAATATAAGTTAAATAAAAAACGACTGTTGGACATTAAAATATTAGTTTTTAAAATAACAAGTGAATAAAAAGATTTTGACCTGGGGCAGAAAAGAATATAAACTCAGTACCAGGTGAACTTCTCCGGGGAATTATATTAATTGAATATAAAGTCCACAAGAAAAATCAGAAATGTATTCCCTCCCATCCGAAAGGAATCTACTGCATTTTTCGTTCTAGTTAGAATTCCCATAAATGAATTACCCCAACAATCTCAGTATCTTTCTAAGCCGGAACAGAAAAGTATCACTACCTTCTTTCAGATAGCAGCACATGCAGAAATGAAACCTCCAAATGGTACATTTCCATTGGATGATGCAAAGCTGCACCGGGCCGTTGGTCAATTGAAATTTCACTTTCTGATTGGCTGGAAGAAGCTCCAGTTTTATTGGATAACAAGAATAAAGCCTTTCCAGCCGCCAATCAGAAGTACCAGTTAGAATCCTCGGGAGTAAATAAAAGGAGCGACGCCGGGCGTCGGCGGCTCACTTTCCTCGTTCTTCGTAGCCTCGGGTTGTAGCTGTTTGCGCGATGTCTGGCCGGGGCAAGCAGGGCGGCAAGGCGCGGGCCAAGGCCAAGACGCGCTCGTCGCGGGCGGGCCTGCAGTTCCCCGTGGGCCGCGTGCACCGCCTGCTGCGCAAGGGCAACTACGCGGAGCGCGTGGGCGCCGGCGCGCCCGTCTACCTGGCCGCCGTGCTCGAGTACCTGACGGCCGAGATCCTGGAGCTGGCCGGCAACGCGGCGCGCGACAACAAGAAGACGCGCATCATCCCGCGCCACCTGCAGCTGGCCGTGCGCAACGACGAGGAGCTCAACAAGCTGCTGGGCAAGGTCACCATCGCGCAGGGCGGCGTGCTGCCCAACATCCAGGCCGTCCTGCTGCCCAAGAAGACCGAGAGCCACAAGGTCAAGGCCAAGTGAGGCGGCCGCGCCCCGCGGCGCGCGCGACCCAAAGGCTCTTTTCAGAGCCGCCCACGCGCTCACGAGAGAGCTGCTCCCGCTGCGTTACATTCTCCCTCTCGCAAAGAACTCGCCGTGGCTTTTACGGTTCATACGAAAATGATCCCAGGCTTTCCTTCAGTGTAGCTTACTCAACTGCATCTTGGCGGGTGTTTTCTACGATTTTACAGTGGAGATCAGCTAGCTACCCCCGTAAACAACACAAACCTAACGCTTGTGTGTCATAAAACTGAGGTCCCTAGTATCGTGAATATAAAGGTAGCATTTCTAACTCGCACTTTCAAGACGGATTAAGTTTCCTGCCGTTGCAGGTTATTCTCTCGCTTCTGACTAGCTTCACACACGGCTGTTTGTTAATATGTCCCGGAGTAAGCTATAAAGCTATAAAAGATGCATGAATGTTTCTGTTCCTTCAAACACAGTAAGGTTTATTTTACCGTGACAAAGAGACTTTATGAAAATATTAGACCTTAAGTGGATTTTTCTGGTTGTCACTGGTGCTAAAGCTTAGCCACCGAAGCCGTAGGAAGCCACCCTTGTCCAAATCTTTGCCACCCTTCCCACGAATGGACATTTTTAACGAATTCAGCTACTCAACTCAGGATGTCCCAATCCTTTCCAAGCAGAGAGACAATTTCCCGACCTGAAAGAAAACTGAAAATGCTCCTACATTGCAGTGTGTGAGGTTTCATTTTCGTCCAATCAAATAAAACGTCTTTTCAGCTGTCCAGTGAGAGCCGTTTGAAACAACTGAGATGGTGCCCCGCCCCACACTGCATCTAGCCAATTGTTGTCCAGCCCAGGAAATTCAAACTTTCTAACGTTCACCTCACAGCATTCAGCCAATCAGGACTGTGAGGACGGTCTATAAATACTGAGCCAGCCGTTTCTTGCAGTTATTTGTGGCGATTTCCTCCAAGTAGTAAAATGGCTCGTACCAAGCAGACGGCGCGCAAGTCGACCGGCGGGAAGGCGCCGCGCAAGCAGCTGGCGACCAAGGCGGCCCGCAAGAGCGCGCCGGCCACGGGCGGCGTGAAGAAGCCGCACCGCTACCGGCCCGGCACGGTGGCGCTGCGCGAGATCCGGCGCTACCAGAAGTCGACGGAGCTGCTGATCCGCAAGCTGCCCTTCCAGCGCCTGGTGCGCGAGATCGCGCAGGACTTCAAGACCGACCTGCGCTTCCAGAGCTCGGCCGTGATGGCGCTGCAGGAGGCGAGCGAGGCCTACCTGGTGGGGCTCTTCGAGGACACCAACCTGTGCGCCATCCACGCCAAGCGCGTCACCATCATGCCCAAGGACATCCAGCTGGCCCGCCGCATCCGCGGGGAGAGGGCGTGAAGTCGATACCGCAGTAGGGGCTCCTACCGAAAACAACCCAAAGGCTCTTTTAAGAGCCACAACTTCTCCACAAAGAGTGCTGATAACTCCAAAAAAATCAAAGACTGCAACGTAATATATCACTTGTAATTTTAATTTTTTAAATGTTTCGAGTTACTTGGTGGTGTATTTGCTCCTACCCAGTCCTCGGAAACCCGTCGTCATCTGGAGCGCGATCATTGAAATTAACATGACACTTACCTGTGAGCTATTAAAACATGCTCTGTGCGAAACGCACATCAAGCTCGAGTAATCAACATACAAGGCATTCACTAAAGGGCGTACGACATTAAGGCGGAAACGACGGCACGTAACAGGGAACGCAACCGGAAGCTTCCCCGAGATCTGAATGGGGCCGAGTGCGAGGCACTCATCGCCGGCACCCTTTTAAACATCCCCAATGGTGACACTCAGCGCTTCTCCGAAGCTTGTGGGTGGCTCTTAAAAGAGCCGTTGGGGTTTAAAGGAACGCGTCCCAGCTAAGAGCAGCCTTTCTCCTACTTCTTCTTGGGCGCCGCCTTCTTGGCTTTGGCTACCTTCGCTTTGGGCGTCTTGGGCTTCGCCTTGGGCTTCGCCTTGGCCGGGCTTTTCGCCGCCTTCCTGGCCGCCGCTTTCGGCTTCTTCGGGCTCTTCGCCGCCTTTTTGGCCCCGCCCGCCGCCGAGGCTGCGGGCTTCTTGGCCACCTTCTTGACGCTCTTCTTGGCCGCTGCGGCCCCGACCGCCTTCTTCACTTTCTTAGCGGCGCTGGCCGGCTTCTTGGCGGCGGGCTTCCTGGCCTTGGCGGCGGCGGGCTGCGGCTTCTTCCCGGCCGCGGCCGCCCTGTCCCGGCCGCGGCCCTCGGCCTGCTTCTTGTTGAGCTTGAAGGAGCCCGAGGCGCCCGTGCCCTTGGTCTGCAGCAGCGTGCCCTTGGTCACCAGGCTCTTGAGCCCCAGCTTGATGCGGCTGTTGTTCTTCTCCACGTCGTAGCCGGCGGCCGCCAGCGACTTCTTCAGCGCGGCCAGCGACACGCCGCCGCGCTCCTTGGAGGCCGACACCGCCTGGGTCAGCAGCTCCGTCACGCTGGGCCCCGAGGCCTTGCGGGGCTTCGGCGCGCCCGCCGCCGCCGCCTTCTTACCCTTCTTGGCCGGAGCCTTGGCGGCCGGCAGAGCAGCGACAGGTGCGGCTGGAACCTCCTCGGTCATTGCGCCTTGTTGAGCCAAGCCACGCTCCCTCCGCCTCAAGTTCGTGCAGCATCCGCCGAACAGGCGCGCAGGAGGCGCCGCCTGGTATTTATAGGGGAGGAGCTGCGCTCTGATTGGTGCGTTCCGCGCAGGGCTCCGTGGCGCCAGACCGGCTCCCGGTCCGGGCGACTTTGTGTTTCTTACCAGCCCCAAACAGCCGATTAATCGCGATCGCGCCCGCGGATCGCTCCCGTTCCAGGCGGGGTCGAGGGGGAGCCTGTGGACTCTTGGGGGCCGCGTCTGCACGCTCCGGGGAAGCCGGGCGGGCCCGCCAAAGGGCGCGGAACGCCGCCTCTGCTCGCTCCTGCAGCCTGCCCAGTCGTCAACTTTTGCTTTTCCCCGAAAATAGCCAGGGCTACTTTCAGTAGGTGGTTGTGGAAAGCCTGCGGTAAGAGACCCGGGAGGGTCAGTCCCTCGGCGGCGCAGAAGGCGCGAGTTTTCGGCTGACCATTCCAGGGCAATCGCCGCTTTCACCGAGTCAAGTAACACATCTGCCAACGAGCTTCAGACTAAGTTGATCTAAGTCAGTACTGCTGTGTTGCCCCCACAAAATGCTTGACTGGGTGATGTTGGGGATTCTTGATTATTTTAAGTGGCCCTGTAGGGGCAGATGGGAAAAATCTCATACAGATGTTAGAAATCTGGCACCTTTAAGCTTATCTAATAGCCCTTTAAGGAAGGGCCTGCTTTTGTCCCTTTGCTGTGCTCCTTATCCAATAGGGTAAATACTTGTAGGGTTGTTAACTGATTGTATATATATTCAGATGAATATATTCATTTGTCTTTAAAATTAGGGGAACTAAATCTAGATGAAACTTCAACATAAGCTCCAACTCACTCTACCACATCTCTGGGCTAAAAGATGGTTGAAGAAAGAGTACTGTTTCTCTGTTAGCTGCTTAACTACTGCAAACCAGCAGAAATGAGTTGCTGTTGAGGCCCACCTGTATTTTGGCAAATAATGCAGGCTTTAGAATATTTTTGCACCTAAAAACTGACAGAGTGATTCTGCAGAAAGAGGGAACAAAAATAGGGAGGAGAGTGAGCTCATGAAAAGAGTAAAAGTGACAGGGATCCAAAATCAGAGCAGTGCTCACTCAGGTAGGACTTGCTTTCCTGCAGATGGACTTGGGCAAGATTACGCTTTCCTGCTCAGCTGTGAGTCCCTTTCAGTTCAATGGGACATGTCCAAAAAAGAGCTGGGAGGGAGGGGGCTGCAGTCTTGGATGTCGAAGTATCACGGGATTTGTTTCCATGCTTGCTGTGGCAGCAGAACAGGGCTATTCCTTGCAGAATGCTGAGGGTTATTAATTCCATTCACCGCTGCATACAAAGGACGGAAAGATGTGACCAGGCCAGTGTTCAGAACAAGGCCGCAATGCACCTTTGGATGAAGCATGAAGGGTCCAGGTGGTTGCCAGGTATACCGCTTATATGGCCATTTGCTGATGGTGAGTGGAAGAGCTTCAGGGTTCCAGACTTGACCCTGAACCGCTTGCCTCTGCTGCCACAGAGGTCCTCTGGTGTACCCGGAAGGCCAGCCAGTTTGGATCCCGTCTTGCCAAGCCCTGACTGAATTCACACATGCTTGGAGACAGGACTGTTATCCACTGATCGACGCTAGTAGGTGGCAGGAAAGATGTGTGAAATCGCCATTAGGACAGGAGAGAGAATAAAATGTGTTGACTTCGTTCCCATACACAGATCTGGGGTGCAATCACACCGTGAATAGTTCTCAGTACTGCACCTCAAAAAGATCCTTGAAGCGGGGAAAAGCAACAGGGGATGACCAGTTCTAGCAAGGGGGTGTTGTGAGCCCCCCAGGTTACAATCTGGGGGCCTGTTCAGCTTAGAAAAACACTGCGTGTCTGAGTACAGGGTATGAACGGACACCTACTGCAGAAAGGTGTAGAAATCGGGGGGTGTTTTTCCCCCTTTCTTGTAATCTTAGACCCTGAAATCCTCCGTTGAAGCCAAAGAAAAATGCAGTGCATTCCAGACCACGAAATTCAGCACCACAAGCCACTTCTGTGTGCAGTCTGAAAAGCGGTCTAGATATATTCCTGGCTACTTGTCCTGAAAGGTATCTGCTGCCTGCAGCATTGGAAACAGTGTGTCTCTGCACACCACTTGCTGGGGAACATGGGTGGCAGGGTGTGGCCAGGAGCATCTGTCCAGCTCCTGGGGAAACAGCATCCTGGCTTTTGGCCTGATCCCACACAGGTTTCACATCTCTAGCGGGATTTCTTAGAAGAAACTAAGCAAAGGTGTTTCTACCTGCAGTAGGAAATACGTGCGGTTTCACTGAGAAGCTGTGCATCCAAGTGCAAAGAGTGTGCTGGAACACCTTGGGGGTGTTTGGGGTAGTCAGAGCAGGCAAGGGGTGGCAGATGGGGACCCCCTCAGAGGTTCTTGGTCTAGGGGAAGTATGGCCAATCTGGGGGGTCTGACGTTGCCACCCGGTTGAGACGGGCAATGTGCTGTCTTTTGATAGTGTGGCGAAGTGCTGGCTTGGCCAGAAAGTCCCAGGTTCAGCCCCCGCCCCGCCACGAGGCTCCCTGGACGCAGGACCCTGCAATCCATCTTTCCACAGCCCGAGGTCCTCCTTCAGATGTGTTTGAGTGCAGCTGCCAGCCTTCCTGGGGAGGATGGGAGCTGTACTACCACAAACCTGGATGGCACCAAGTTGTGAAAGGATGCGCTAAACCTCACTTCATGGGGTGTTGTGAGGATTAAAGGGGTGGGGTGGGGGTTCTGCTGTATCTTTGCCCCACAAAAGGAGGCTGGGATAACACAGTGAGCAAAACAGTTTTGGGGTCCGTGGTATCCTGCCCTCCCAGTGCCTCCATGGAACATTGGACATTGGATTGGGATGATTCTGAGCACATATCCAGCCCCGAATTAGTTTTGGAGTCAGAGCTGAGCTTGCAGCCCTTTTCTCACAGAAATTGACCCTGGTTTCCCCCAGGCATTCTCGTTTGAGCGGAAGAATGATGCGGGCAGAGAATGACAGGTACCGACTTCTGACACAGCCAAGCAATGTTTCTTACCAGTCTGGGGCGAATCCATTTTGCTGGGGAAATATGGCAGCTCCCCCAGCTTTAACCCATACAGCCCTCAATGACGTGGGACTCGGACGCCTGTCAAAGCACCTCTCCTGCTCTGCGTCACCCATACGCTACTGCCCACATCCAGGAGTTTTGCCGACAGACACCTCCAAGGAAGGCAACCAGGAAGATGGCCTCCCTCTCCAGGAATTCTGGGACGACCTCCTCCCAAAGCCCTGCCCAATCCCAGTGCAGGAATCTTTTCGGCACCCAGGGATTTGATAGCATAGGATGGGACATGCCATTTAAATACTTGCAATGGTTTTAGTAGTTTAAACTTCAGCATTTTACATTTTGTATATCGAAACTGTATGCTCTGTATGATTTTATTGGTGTTCTATGGATTTACTGTGAAGTGGCCAGAGAGCTTTGGATATTGGAAAGTAGAGAACTGAAATGATATTCACACAGAACTCTCTCCGGGAGCCCTCATCATTTGTGGACAAATTCAAGCAATAAGGGACAGGCATGAGACCTAAAATGTGTTGCAAGCAATATTCATACCGGTAACAAAGCGGCGGGGTGGGGGGGGGGTGGATACTTCCCTGGGGGCAAAGGAGGAACACCTCACGGAAAGAGCACAAGGATATTATCTGACCCGGTACCAAATTCTCTTTCACACGTTTCCCCTTCTCCAAAATATGCCCTGCACACAGAGCACGAAAAAGACAAGTGTGTCTTTATTTGGGAACGGTTTTCACAGAAATTGCACAACTGAGGACGGCACAGGGAAGTCCCCTGCACATGTGCACACTCATCACAACAGCAAGGGGGAGAGGGAACTCTAGTTTTGTACAAAAATAAAACCTTTATTGACAAAGAAAAAAGCAAATGTAGTAAACACTTCACTTTTGGCCTTCTCGCCCTGCTGGCAGCACAAGATGCTGCAGAAGCAGGTGTTCTTTGAGAATGATTGAGGTCAACAGGAAGGGTGGCAAAGTGGAATTTCCAGGGTAACAGCTCTGTGCAAAATACCACTGCCCTAGGACTTGGGTACTTTCTCCAGGGGGTCAGAAGATGCCTTCATTTGATAAAAAGTGGGGGTAGAAGCAGCATTTTTACAAACAGTGGTAAACAAAAACCCCACTAGGGAAGTTTCCCATAGTTCCAGAGGCAGGAAAAGATGAGATTCCAAACCCAGAAAGTACTCATCTTTTAAATTCAGTCCTTCTCCATCAGTTTGCTCCAAGGAAGGTGCGTCAAAGTACATCTAAGTCTGCCCCCCACCGCCAAAAAAAGGAGATCACTTTGAGGAACACCAAATAAAGAAACAGAGCGGAAAGGTTCGCTTTTCTGGATCAACCAAGCTATGGAGTTACCCTTTTCGGTAAAGCAAAGTGCCTCATTTCCCATTGGAGGCCGTCTCGGTGTTGGGAGAACTCCCAATTTTAGCAAGGGATTCTGAAGGTATGTCACCAGAAATGCGTTTCAGAGGAAGAGGCAGAAATGGAAAATATGCTTTGCAAAGTATCAGACCAGTTGGAGTAAATGTGTTTTCCTCGCAGGAGTACAATCCTTGACACACAATGTGATTAAAACGAATTATGATCCATGTACCTTTGCCTGCATTTCTATTTGAGGCGATTCCAGGAGCAGCAGTCCTTCTTTGGAAGGTCAAAAGGGCACCCTAAGTGGTCACCTTGTGCCAGGAATGCTTCCTGGCATCACTCGCCGAGATATGCCAACGGTGTGTGTGTTTTCCTATTGGCTTTGGCAGTACAATCCTTGGGCGGGGATTTACTGCTTATTGTAGAAATGAGGAAAATGGTTCACACAAACTACCTACTTGCTAGACTCTTTCAGCCATCACAAAAATAAGCACAACCCACTTTTGGATGCTCTGAGGCAGAGGGCAATTTAGCAGTGAGAGGAAAAGACACAGAAAAGCTACTATGAAGGATGTCCACGTGTGCATTCCAACAAATCATTCTCAAACTAGGTTTCCACACACTGGGGAGGAAAGAGAAATTATTCATCTTTTCAGGGGGTTGGAGCGATCGGATTGCATGGCTCTGAGCAAACTGAAAAATTTTACTTTGGGTTGACTTCAGCCTGCACAGGAAAATGGTAGGCAGAGTGAAGCACGGGCAAAATGCCTTTCAAAACTTTTGAAAGAACCATTGCTGGGAAAGTCACTGGTACCAGCCTTAAATAGCCCACAGTGCAATCGACCAAAAGCCTTCCCCAAGAGTTCTGTCCTGACTGGGGATGATGCGTGTTGTAGTCTAACACGCCTGAGAAGTAACCAGGCCAAACCAGGGAAGGCTGGACTGCAGCATAAAAGCCGTTTTGGCTGGGAGGGAGGTGAAGTTGGGAAGCAGCTCTATCATCAGTTTGAAATCTGCTAAAATGTTAAGATTTCCCAACTATTTCTGGTATTGTCCAGTAGAGGTGGCAGACACTACAAGAACATGCGGGGGGGGGGCCCCTCCACCCCTGCACAAAATCCCAAACTTTGCCTTCCAACATGGCTGGAGGACTTTGTTTCCAGCAACAGTGTCCCTTCTCTCTTTGCTCCGCTGGAAATGGGCAAGTATCATCAAGACTATTGATGTAACTATGGATGTCAAAGGAACATGTCAAAGGATGGATGAAGCACTAGGAACAGAGAACAAAACGCTAGCGTATCAGGAGTGTGGCGGATCACAAGAGCCAGGTTCTCGAAACCCAAAGAGAGGGGTTGGTTCTTCACAACTCAAGGATCAGAGACAAAAGCCGGAATCTGCACCCCGAGCGAGCCCAAGATAGGAATAGCAGCTGGCTCAACAGACCTTCCTTTTTAACGTTATCCTTAAAAGGGGGGTATCTACATGGCTCAAGGCTTGGTACATGGCTGAAGGCGTAAGGAAGGAATGGTGACGTCAGGCCCTCCCGACAGGGTCCTGGGCCTGCTGGCTCCTTTCTGCCGTCATGAGGTGGCGGCAGCGCTTCGCGATTTGGGTCTTCTCATCAGAATACTTTTTTAGAACGGGGGGTCTCTGCGTCTCTCTGTTTGCCAGGATTTCATTCTCTGGGCCTGGGCCTGGGCCTGGGCCTAGCAAGGTTGCAAGGTGTCAGCGACTGGAGTACAAGGTCTGCAGCAGCGGCTTCCGCAGAGAGGCAGCAGCCGCTCAGGGCAGGAGGAGGAGTCTGGGGCTCCCTGCTCGACTCCTGCTGTTGCTGTTTCGCCGCCTGCAAAGCTGGTCAAGGCCGAGGGCCGGCCTGGGCAGCCACTGCAGGACGCTCAGCATGGCCAGAGCAGAGCTCCGTCTCTGGTGAGCCCTCCGGGCAGGAGCGGTGCCCGAGAGAGGTGGGGGCCGGGGGGCAAGGACCGCATGCATCACCATCACCGTCTGTAGGCCAGCCTCGGTCTCTTTTTTATTAACATCATCAGTACTGCGAACAGGCCCCTTCGATGGGCACAGCTGCAGATCCGTAAAAAAAGCAACAAAGAACTTTTCTGGAAAAATAAATACATAAAAACTCCGGTCCCCTTGCCCCAGTGTCTCGGGCTTCCTGGGTCCAAATCCTCAGTAAGGCAAGTAAGGTTTGGGGCAGCTGGTCCAGCTGAGGAGGCGGAAATCGGCCAGGAGGGCCACGCCATGTCACGGCCACGGGACTTGCGAGCCCCGCTGGCCTCCAGCTCAGTCCATCGGGCTCCCTCCTGGGGCCGCGAAGCCAACCGGCCCTCGAACACCCCCAGTGTGGCCCGCCCCTCCGCAGTCCTTCCACGGCTGGGGGAGGCGGCGCTGTGGCGGCGGCGGCGGCGCCTGCCCGCCCGGGCTGCAAGAAGTCCTGCCACCGGCCCCACTGCTCGGCCGCAGCCCCGCTCAGGGCAAAAAGAAGCCAGCCCGCTCGGGAAGCCAGGCCGTGTGGCTCAGTGCCTGGGAGCTGCGGGCGCGACCCCCGCTGCGGCCTGTGCCCGCGCGGCCGGCTCCCCCGGCTCTGCTCCAGCCTCCTCCTCCTCCATGGCCACTTCTGGGGGCAGGGACGACAGGCAGAGCTGCGCCCCACCGCCCTCCTCCATCGGCTCCAGCATGCCGTTCAGGTCCATGTCCTGGATCTCGACGTCGTACAGAGGGGAGACTTTTGAGGTGGGGTTGCTTCCGCAGTCCACACACGCCTGAGGCAAATGAGAGGAAAAAGGGGGCGAGCTCAACGCCGTGTCCAGGCCCACTGGCTCACCACTGCCCCTGTGCGGCGCCCGGCCCGGCAACCTTCCCAAGGGCTGGTTTCCAAGCTGCCCCGTGGCCCGCGGCTGGTCCTAGGGGTTTCTTAGCCAACGTGTGCCCGGAAGGCAGATGCACACACGAAGCCGCAGTCCGGCCAAAGCCCCACTGTGGCCTGTTCCCCCTGCTCCTGCACACATGGGAGGAGAGCGGGACCCCGGGAACAACCCCGCTCCCCCTCCAGCACTGCGGTGGCAGCAGGGAAGAGCCTCTCCACACCGCAGGCAGGCACCCCAGCCCGTGCCCCCTTCTCCCCAGGAGGGAAGCGGGCGGGAGCCATCCCTCCCTGCCCCACACACCTGCTTGGAAATCTGGGGGGGTGTGGGGCAGGCAGCAGAGGCCCAGCACCCATCGGTGCCCCTCTCAAAGTCCAGTCAGGATTTGGGAAGGGTGGGGGCGGGGGGAGACACGACTCTCTAGCTCTCTGCCGGATGGCGGTGAGTGGAGACCCCGGGCAGCCCCCACCCGAGCCACTCCCAGGGAGCCCAGCCCAGGCCAGCCTCTGTGGGGTGGCCTGGCCAAGCCCAGAGCCCGGGCCTGCAGGCCCCCATGCCCACCCCACCAGCTGGGACGCCAGCGGGGGCCACGCAGGGAGCCCTCCCAGCTCGCACGGCAATCGACGATCCCATGGCGGCCGGCCATCCCACCCAGGCAGGGGCCTCGTCCTCCTCCTCCTCCTCCTCCTCACCGTGATGTTGATCGCTTTGGGCAGGGCCCCCTTCTGGACCCACGAGTGCACCTCGGCCAGCTCCTTCTTCTGCTCGTCCGTGAAGCGCGGCTGCCGCTTCTGCATCTGCTTCAGCTTTTCCCGGTCCTCCCGCAGCACCGCCTCTGTGTCCCTGCAGGGCACGGGCGGGCAGTGAGTCGGGCAGCGTGGGGAAGGGGAAGCGGAGGCAGGCCCCCAGTCGCAGGAACGAGGCCCCTTCAGGGGGAGTGCGGCCCACCCGCCCCGCGCAGGACGGCGGACGGGCGAGCCGGGCGCTGCCCGCCTCCTCACCTGGCCGGGAGCTGGTAGGTCATCATGACCTTGTCGTCCGTGTTGGCCATCAGCAGCCAGATGGGGTCCTGAAGGACGTACTTAATGAAGTGCTCGTTGTCCTCCACCTCCGAGCGCTTCTTGCCGCGCAGATCGTTCTCCGAGGAGTCGATGCTGCCGAAGTATTTGCTGGTGTTGCTGCTCTTGCTGCTTGCTGGGTGGGGGAGGCAGAGGTTACGAGCGGGCAGACCCCCGCGGCCCCTCTCCAGCCGCACCCCTGGGCGTGCGGGAGTCCAGCTCCCACAGCCCCGCTCACCCCTGCCCTCCGATGCAGCCTGGCCCACCGAGGAGCCGGCCGGGGCGAGGGAGGCAACCCCGCCACCACAGGGGCGGACTCACCGGTGCCGCTGGCCGAGGTGCTATCGCCATTAGAGCCGGAGCCCAGGAAGCCGGAGGCGGCCGAGCCACTGCCGGAGGCAGCCGACCCCGTGCCAGAGCGCGAGTCTTCCTGCAGCAGCAGGTCCAGCAGGTCACTGGAGCTGGACAGAGCGTCGTTGTTGGAGGAGCCGTGCGCTTCCGCCTGCAGGGAGATGGACGGGTGGGAGGAGCGGGCAGAAAGAGGCTGGGTCAGAGCCGCCCTTCCTGCCACGGCCCCTGGCAAGGAGGTTTCTCTCCTTGCCCGGGCCCAGGGCCACTCTGGCTACGCTGGCAAACAAGGGGAGGGGGTGTCTCGGGCCACTCGGCGCTGGAGACAAGCGGCTTAAGTGGGGAGCGAGCGAGCGCCGGGCACCCTGCTTCGCCACCAGGTGCCCAGGGAACCGGCCGCGACCCGCTGCTGCTCGCAGAGCTGAGCCTTCCCTCTGACCCGCCAGTGGCGAGGAGGGCGAGGCTGAACGGCGTGTGCACAGAATGGAGCACACCTGGCACCGGGGCCAGAGCTGCGGAGATCTGGGGGCACCGGCTCCCTTCCCAAGCCCCATCCCAGTGGGAAGGGGCAGGTCCGCCGCTCTCCGGCTGGGAATGGATCTACTCCTGGAAAGAGGCAGGAACCTCGTCATGCAGCCACCTGCACGGACTCCCCCTTCTTTTACACCCTGCCTTGACACCAAGCTCAGGATGCTGCCTAAGAGGCCCTGAACCTCCAAAGTTTAACGATGGAGAAAGATGCACCTAAGCCAAGAGGGGCTCACATCCACACTAGCTTCCGCCCCCTTACTGTGGCAGGCGACGAGGTGCCACCCAGCCGGGAGGAGCCTCGGGGGGCTGCATTCCTGCCCCGTGTCCTTGGGTCGCTCAGCATGCGGCGGGCTGGGGGGACTTACCAGGCACGGCTCCTCCTGGGCACCGAGCTCGCCGGCCAGGCCCGGGCCACCACTCACGCCAGCCCAGTCCGGGGTGGCCCCCGCCGGCCCGGCCGGGTTGCCGGCCACTCCTTCCGGGCGGTCACAAGGCTTGGGCATCTCTTCCATCTGCAGCAGGTTGAGCTGGAGCGGGGAGCTGCAGCGCGACTCGAACAGCGGCGACTCGGCCCGCTCGGGCTGGCTCATCGAGTGCGGGGTGGAGGGCCGGGACAGCGCCTGGGGGCCCGCCTCGGGCCCCGGGGTCGGCGCGCCCCCCGGCTGAGGGCCGAAGGGGAAGACCGGCCCGCCGGGGAAGTAGGACGGGGGCAGCGGGCTGTTCATCTGCGGGAACACGTAGTTGGGCAGCACAAGCGCCACCATGGGGGCGACGAGAGGCGTGGGGAACTGCGGGGCGGGCAGCGTGCTCGGGGCGGGCTCGGCGGCCGGCGGCACGGCGGATCGCGGAGGGAAGACCGGGATGGGGTAGGTCGGCATGACGGCCGGGTAAGGCATGGCGGGCAGGCTGGCCTGGGAGTTGCCTGAAGGAGGCCACGAGGACGATCCCGGCGCGCACAGGAGCTGGGGCGGGGAGGCCGAGTGGGGCGGGGAGCTGGTGCTGTCCGACAGCTTGTTCTGCTGCTTGATGCGCTTGGCCTTCGACTTCCTGCTCCGCCCGCGGCATCCTGGACCTCGGGTGCCCTGACGTGGGCCTCTGTGTCCTGAGCGGCCCGAAGGAGAATGGAGAGGGGAGGCGCGTGAGCGAGGCCCCTTCTGACCCGGCAGGGCGCGCTCCCCCGTGGTGCTCCCCCACGGCCCCACGGCGGCTGCCCGGCCAGGCTCACCTCGCTCGGCCTGGGGCCCGGCGTGGGGCGGCTCCTGCCAGCTCCGCCCCGGCGGCGCGTCGAAGACGTGCAGCCGGCTGAGGTCCTTGAAGCGGGTGAGGAACGCCTGCTCCTCCTGCTGGGTGTGGACGGAGAGCACCTCTTTCGTCAGCCCCACCTTGCGGTACTGCTGCTCCCGGTCCGGGGTCATGCTGGGGGGAGGGGGGGCCGGGGGGGTCGCACTGGGCGCCGCCTCTTCCATCATCACGATATCTGCGAGGAAGGGAAGGAGAGAGGAAAAAACACAAGAGGAGGAGGACCAGGTTAACCCCGCAATCCTCCCGAGGATAGAAATCCACCAGGAAAAACAAGCAAGGTCAGCATTTCTATCCCGCATTTCTCGCGCACACACACACGCACACACACACACGCAAGTCCCGCCATCCCTGCTCAGTGAAGGAGATGCTGCTCAGGCCGCCGCTCACTCAAGAGCCAAATGTGGGCGGGGGGCAGGGGTCTTTAATTTAAGGATGCCATCAATCTAGCCGTGCCGGAACTCCGGGTGCCGGACACTTCCTGTTGCTTCCTGACAGCCACAAGTTTCAATGACAGGAGTGCACATCTCCGAACACAGCGAAGGGGAAAATGGCATTATTTTCACAGGCCCCGATTAACCCTTCTCGGGTTTAAATTCCCGGCACTGTGCGCAGCCGCGACAGCAGGTCCCGGCTTCATCTACCTGCACAGGCATGACGTAGACACGTGATTCCACATACAGCTATTAAGGAAAAAAGACCAGGGCTCCCGCACCAGCACGCTGGGCCACTGGGAATGGCTATGTGGCCCCCAGCCCCCGGCTGGCAGCAGAAAGAGCTGGCCTGCGTCCAGAAAGAGCGGTGCTGCTTCCTTGAACACTTGCCCAGAGAGGAGTCACTCCCCACAACAGGACAGCCACCATAAAGGTATGGCCTGAGTGTTCCACCTCTCACCAAGGGGTGACTTTGTGTGTCCCAACGTTCATTCAGGAGTTACGACTGGCATCCAACAGCTTAGCCAAGCAAACGCGCAGAGTGGCTCCGCCTCGGGAATACTGTAACACGGGGGGTGCTGGGTGCGAATCTGCTCAGCTGGGAGGGCCAACTGAGTCAGCTGGGAGACGGAGGCTGTGCGGGGCGCAAAGGCGGGAAGAAGCGACACCGATCCCCAAATGAAGGCGCACCATCTGATGCAGAAAATGCTGCCGTCTGGCAGAGGGAAAAGAAAAAGGCGCTGCCCCTTCCAGCTCACTCGCGCGCCCGTGCCTGTCACGCGAGGGGAAAAACAAGCCTGGAAGGGGCCCCGGGATCCAGATCCTCGCAAGCCGCCATGTTCCGACTGGCGACATGACTCAGGGCAGATGCGGGCGGAGGAAACGGGAGCCGCGAAAAAGCCGAGACCCCTTCTACACGACTGTGTGCTGCTAAGCTGCGGAAAAGCCAGCAGGGCTGGAAGGAAGTGAAAAATGCCCGGGAATAGAAGCCAGGAGCAACGGCGCCGGTCCAGTGGGTTATTCCAGGATCCTACAGGATGCTATTGTGCTGCTGAAGGAGGCTGGAGCGCAGGGGGCACCGGAAAGTCCGAAAAACCCTTCTCCTACTTGAGGAGAGCCGATTCTCGCGTCTCTTCAGCTTTGCCTGGTTTGTAATGACAAACCATTCTGCCCGGGATCCACAGCAAAGGCATCTCAGTACTGCCAGATGGAGAAGCGTGTGGAAGAGTCAGCGTCTGGGCAGGGAATCCAGCTCTGAACGGGAGGCATCGCGGGGGTCTCAGCCGCGGTCATGCTGCCAAATGGCGCCAGAAGAAGTCTCGAGGGGCTTTGGTTCCCCAAAGAAAGCCTCCCTGCCCCTCTCCCAGAGGGGCTGCACACCCCTACCCCAAGAGACGCAGCAAAACGGAAGGAGAGGAGAGCACAGGGGCCGAGCAGAGCCGTGCCGTGCTGCCCGCCAGGGATGTTCTTGGCCCAGCCACCGCGCTTCCCCCTCCTGGCCCCTGGATGGGAGGACGGCCTTCCCAGGCCCCATCCCCGGGACTGTCAGCACAACCACTCACACCGTCACCACCCGCTGGCTTTGTGGACGACAGAGAGGACTGCCAAGGGAGGGGGGTGGACCCGCCCTCGAGTACTCAGGCTCTGCTTGACCCAGACTGACCCAGAAGAGCCGGTGCCTCTAGCGGATCGAACCTCCTGGCCTTGCTTCCCGCTTCCGATGCCACAGGGCGCAGCAGTGCCCGGCCGGCCATCAATCCCAGAGCCCGACATGCGTGGAAGGGGCCCTCCCTTGCTCCGCCAGCCACGGCCGAGGGGAGCAAGGGAGCCACAGCCGGCGGAAGCATCTCCCGCCTCTGCCTCCCCCTCCGCTCCCCTCCCGCGGCTTCCCCCAGGACGCAGCTCCTCTTCCTACAACCCCCCGGCCCGCCCTCCCTGCCCATGGCGTCCACCTCCCATACCCGACTCGGGGGGCTTCTTGTCTCCCACGTGGACGATGGTGCTGCTGAAGCTACACTGACTGGTCACGGAGGCCACGCTCTCGGCTTTGCTAGGCAAGGCCAGTGGAGTGAGCGGGCCGCCCACCACGGCAGCTGCCGCCGTCCCACGCTCGTCCCTCTTAGGCTGGCTCTCCGGGGTCGGCAGCATTTCCTCCAGTGCATCTGTTCAAAGAGACAAGGGTGGATTAGCCGAGTGGGGAGCGGGTGCAAAGACCCAGAGACCCTTCAGAGCACCTCCTGGCACAGCAAGAAGATCAAGACAGATGGATGGTTGGACGGACAGTCAGAGAGAGAAGAGCAAGACGCTGAGGCCCTCCGGATGAGGCAATCAGCTGGAACCGGAGACCGTGAGTCTGGCGGGCCGCCTGCATCAAGAGCCCCGGCCAGGAGGGGGAAGTTCCGCTGCCTAGCGCAGACCCAGGCGGGCTGCCACGCTCCCTCCATCCGCGGCCATCCGCACAGCCTCAGCGGCAGAGCAACACACGGGATCCTCGCGAGACGGGGGCCAGCACGTGTGAGGGGGTGCAGGAGAGGAGAGGAGAGGAGAGGAGAGGAGAGGAGAGGAGCGACTACTTTTGCCTGGTGTGAACGCGGGGGGAGGGGGAGCCACATCCTACACCGAGCCGGTCATCGCTAGCAAGGAAAGCCGGGGCGGGGGGGAGCATCACCTTTACTTGGGCAAGCCACCTCTTCGCCCACTTTCTGCTTGTCGTCGTCCGAATTTGAGGACGTGGTGTACGAAGAGGAGCCACACTTCCGCTTCACGCGGCTTGGGATGCTGTAGCTCTCCAGATACCTGGATTTTGGAGGAGAAAGAAAGGCGGAGGGGCCAAATCAGCAGCGATCCCAAGCCTGGGACAGGCCAGGAGGGAGCACGTGAAAGACAGGAGTCTGCACAGCTGCCCTCAAACCACAGGAGGAGATATGAAGGGGTGCAAGCGTCACGTCCAAAGGTCCCCGAGACAGCCCTGTGAACTAACTCCAGTGCCCACCACCCCCAGCCCTGGGAGCCCAGCATGCAGGGCCCAGGCGGCTCCACAGGAACACCTGAGGCAGCAGGCGGCAACCACAGGAGAACAGACGTAACTAAGAGGCTGCGGCACCTTTCAAATGGCGATTACGGGCAGGGCCCTCCGCGGACGGCCGTGCCCGCCTGGTGCCGGATCCCTCGCAGCGCCACTACCCTGCGCGCAGAGCCCCGGCCCTCCCTCACGCACCTTATGATGCCGTCCAAGCAGTTGATCTGCTGGTAGGAGTAGTTGGAGGGGTCCTTCCTCAGCGACTCCTCGGAAGCGGCTGCCTTCCCCGGCTCCCGGTCCAGCTCCCTCTGGGTCAGCGCAGGCTGCAGGCTGCCTCTGGCTGGTGCTTCCAGAGCTAGGGAGGGAGGGGAGAGTTGCAAGCCGGTGCAAGGAACAGAGGCGGAAGCTGCGCTCCCCGGTCGTACCCACGGCTGCTGGGAGGCAGTGCGCCCCTTTCCGCTGGGCAGCCTCCCCCCCGAAGGCAGAGAAGAGCCACCGCCTCACCTGGCTGGGAGTGCTTCGCGGGCTGGGGCCTGACGCGGGACTCGATGAAGACCTGCTGGCCCTGGTTCTTCACCATGTGCACGTCCTTGCAGATCTCCTGGAAAGTCATCTGAGGACAGGAGAGAAGCCATCAGCGCAGGCCAAGGGGCGGCCGGAGCAGCCCAGCCCACGTGGGAGCCGCCGGGGCGAGGCGGCCAGGCTTGGCCCACTCAGGCTCCTCGGCGCCCGCCCTCAGGTCCCGGCTGGGCCTTGCTCACCGGCCGAGCAGCTTGCGCCTCCTCGTTGGGGATGCCGTTGCTGTCGCTGGACGAGGCGACGCTCAGGAACTGCTCATGGGAGGCGTTGCTGCCCAGGCTGCAGAGGCCCATGGACCCGCTGCTGTGCACCGGCTGCGAGAGGAGGAGAGGGCAGGGTCAGTGCATGGACGGGGGCAGCCCACGGGAGGGGGCAGCCCACGGGAGGGAGCAGCCAAGAGGAGCCCCGTCAGGCTGTCCGGCAGTCACCTCACCTGCAGCAGGAGCCGGTGGATCTGCTCGGAGAGCCCCTGGAAGTCCAGCTCCGCGGGCTTCACCTGCGGTGTTTTGGGGGCCGTGAAGACGTCCTCGTTGAGGGGGCCCCTGGGGAGAGCAAGCAGGAGGCGGGTTAGGGTTAGGCCCTCCTTTCCCCCAGAGGAGGGCCGAGCCAGCTCTTGCCCCGCTGCTCCCAGGGCCCTCTCACCCTCCTCCTCCTCCTCCCATGCTCCCTTCCGTCAGACCCAGCCTGTCTCTCCCCCTGCTCCCTGCAGCCGCTCCTCCACCCCATTCTCTCCCTGGCAATGGCACCTCTTGCCTGCAGGATCGTGGGGGGCCAGGGGATAACATGGATCCGAGCAACGGGGAGGAGAGGATCCCTGCATGTGCGCGGAAGGGGCGCTCGCCCACTCCTGCACAGCCGCTGCTCTTCGCCTCGCAGACAGACAAGACAGACAGACAGCCGTCCACAGAGCGCAGCGTGGTCCGTGCCGTCCAGAGCACCTCAACAGCGCATTCCCCTCTCGCTGCCCTGCCATCGCGCCACATGGATCGGAACCCCACCCCGAGCCCCCTCCAAAGAGCACCTGGCCCGGCAACAAGAGGGACGTCGAGACACTGCCCTGCCCCTCAGCCACAGCTTCCCGCCTTCGCAATTCAAGGGGCGAGTCGAAAGGCGCCCCCAGCCCACACACGCTTTGGGGGAGAAGCCAATTCCGGGCTACTCACGTCCGCACTTTGTGTCTGCCCATGATGAAGGAGACTTTGCGGCTCCAGGGGTTAACGAAGCTGGACCAGCTGGTGTCAATGGTGACGTATTCCCCGTTGCGGGCACAGAAGCGGATGGGGGAGTGGTCGAAGGGCTGGCCAGCATACTGCAGAACTAGGAGGCAGCAAGGGAGGGGAGCGGAGGGTGAGAGAGGGCACAGCGGCTGCCAAGGCCAGCATCCCTGCGAGCGCCGCACGTCTGGAGCCGGACCCGCCGGGTGGGGCCTGGGGCCAAAGGGTGGTCAGGGAACCGCCGGAGGGTCTGCACAGCGGAAGCAACAAGGAGCACAAACACCCCTCCCGGCCCTCCTCCCCTGTTTCGTACTCACTCTTCTTATGAATGGCCAGCATAAGAGGCCGGTCCTCTGGGTGCAGGTAGAAAAGGACAGGCATCCCGACCAGGTCCTGGGGAAGGTAGCCCAGCAGTGGGGCCGCTCTGGAAAGCAGAGAGCGCAGAGACATCACCAGGCAGCAGGGGGAAGGCCGGGCTGGGCCCAGCACCTGGACGAGGCCGAGCAGCACTGGCCCAGCCCGAGAGGCACACGGGCACGGAGGCCGCTGAAGACAAGGACCCGCAACGGGGCGGTCCTGCCCGGCGAGGTGACGGATGGGCAAGGCCCCCATTCCGGCGAGGCCTGGCACTCCTGCGCAGGATCTCAGGCACCCCTCCCTCGGGGCAGCTCCAGGGCGAGGAGGCGAGGCTGCAACCCACGCCCCACACAGCCTCCCCCATGAGGCCCCCTACTCCTTACCGCTCATCCACATCCTGGAACAAGCAACTGGGAGTGTGTCTGGTGGTGAAGATTCTCTTGTCAGGGGGGATCCTGGGAGCTGGAACGGAAGGCACACCGCAGAATTAAAAGCGGCGTTCTGAGGACCACCGACCCCCACATGGGCCTCGGCGGTGCAACATGCACCTCTCTTCTCACAGGCCCTCCTGTGTTTGGCCCACCCCACAGAAGGCGCAGGGCGGGCAAACAGGGCGGGGGGTCAGTGAGCAGACCCCCTTTCCACCCCCATCACTCTCCCACTCGCATTGGGCAGGAGGGGAGAAATCCACGCAGGCACAGGCCGCAGCTGCTTCTCCCTCCATACCAGCCCTCCCCGACGTGAGACCCTCCAGAGGGGCTGGACTACGACTCCCGTCCTCCCCCGGGAACTGCATTTCAAAGGGCATCCATTCAGAGAAGGCCACTTCAGAGAGTCCCAGCCACCTGCCCTCTTGCGGTCAGAGTCGACGGAGCGTCAAATTCCCAACAACACGACACACGCGGGACTGCCCCCCCCACCCGTGCGCCCCCCCGCCTGTCGCAGTCCTGCCGCCCCCTCACCTTCGTAGCCTGAGTGGATGCGCTCGGCGATGAGCAGGCAGCAGGGCTGTCCTTCGGCGCTGCCCGAGTCGCGCACTTTGGCCAGGTATGGGGTGAGCCGGAAGGGGTAATAGCGCAGCTCCCGCCCGCTCTCGTGGCCTCCGCTGAGAAACAAACGCCTGCAATAAGACCAGAGGCCAGAGGAGACCAGGACGACCGGCAGGGAGCAGAAGAGCAGCACACATGGCGCTGGGGGGCAGGAGGCAGTGCACCCCCCTGCGGCTCGTGCCCCCTCCACCCCACCCAGGAAGGGGGCAGCACGCCTCAGCCTGCCCGCCAGCTCGTGCAGGGGCTGGGGGGCGTTCTCTCGGCCAAGGCACGCTATCTCCGCAGCTGCTGCGAACTGCATGCCTCTATCCTGCGAAACTTTTTATGCACCCAGCGTTCCTTGGCTGGCTGGCCAGACTATCGGGAGGGGCTCTTCTGGCCAGACTACAGTCCGTGGGACACCTGATCGGAAGGACCAGGTGCGCTCTGCTGCACACTAAGTGCAAACTTTACAAGCTTCAAAATGCTTATGGAAGCACAAAGGAAGACAAAATTCACCTGATACGACAGAAGACAGATTTCTCTTGGGTGTAATCCATAGCAGCTGCTGTGGGGGGGGGCAGGGAGAGAGAGAATGCAATTGCAAGATTAATAATGAACTGGTGCACACTTGAAAACAGCTCTTTCCAGTTTCTCATTTGATCCCCTGTTCTGAGCGGCTTCAGAAACGGATATCCTTTGATAGCAATTTTGAGGCCGGAGAAACTTTTCAAGAGGAGGAGCTGCGATGTTCTTGGTTGCTACTGCATGCCAGTAGGCTTCCCCAGCCCCCTTCCCACCCCCAGTGTGTTGGACTGTGCCCCCCACATTCTTAGCCCGTGGCAAAAGCGAATTTCTAGGCTCGACTGCAACCATGCGGCAGCCAAGGTGCAAGCAGAGCTCTGGCTGCAGGCTGGCCTTCACCGCCCTTCTGAGCTTCCTGCATACAGAAGGCACGTACTGGCAGAGGCGCAGGCGCTCCAGGAGGGCAAGTGATACGGTGCTGTGGACCCATAGAAGATGCTGACGTCTTGTGGGGCCAGGAACTCTGCAAACTTGGCTCCCTTGAAGACTTCCTTCTTGCAGCGCAGGATGAACGCGGCCTGGTCCGAGATGTAGGCGATTTTCCCCGTGATGAATGAGATGGCCACAGAGAACGTGTCCTGAGAGAGAGAAAGGAGCAGCGGGGTTGGGAAACGGCAGCAAATTTGCAGGGGAAGTTATCCTACCCCAGAAACACAGCCCGGGGAGACGGGATAAGCAGCAGCTGGCACCGAGCGAGCAGAGTAACCCACAACCTTCCAGATGTTGTGGAATACGAACTCCCGTCAACCATGCAAGCTCCTGCGTACCTCCCTTCACGATGCGAGGATCCTGGACAAGACTTGCTGCGGCCTCATCCCACAAGGCCACTCGTATCCCTTTCCCAGGGATGCCAATACCGCCCGCCAGCTTGCCAGTGGAAGACAGCTCAGGCGCAGCGCCGAGCTCCATGCGCACGCACGGAGGAAGAGTGAAAGGGCAAGACAAGAAGCTCACAGGGTTTTTGAGGATGTACTCTGCAGTGATGTTTTCCAGCTCCTCGATGGTGCACGTGGGCATGTCCAGATTGCAGGGCTGGCGTTCGTCGATGGTCCACTGCTGGTAGTAATCTTGGCTGGCTAAAAAGCGAGGAGGAACAGCTCAACAAGCACCTCACGGCACCGGCCCGGCCCGGCCTCTTTGCCTCGTGGACGGCCGCGGATTAACTCGCAAAGACCACGCAGCCTACCTTGGACCTGTTTCACGCAGGACAGTGCGTACTGCAGCGTGGCCAGAGTCCCCGACTTCCCTTTGCCGCGCTTCTCCGAAGGCAACCGGATCTTCATCTCCTTCAGCGCCTTCATCAGTTCTTTTTGGGTCTTCACGCGTGCAGACTGCTCGCTGCTGTGGTGGCACAAAGGACGGACACTGTCAAGCCACATCCGCTGTACGGCAGACCCCCAAGATGGGAGAGATCGCCCTCCGCCCCCCCCCGCACCTCTGCTCATGTGTGTGTGCACCCTCGTCAAGAGCCTTACGCAGAAGTAATCAAACTGATGGAAAGTAAGTGGAAAGGAAAGTAAAAATGCCACTCTGGGCTTAAAAGCCATTATGGAAGTAGCTTCTGTACGACTAATCAGCATGGTCCCATCTCTGTCTAAATTATATTCACAGGACGCTTAAGCTGAGGGAAGAGAGCATTCAGAAATGGCTATACATTGAAAATAGTGCTGCTGCTGCTGTTTTGAGTGCCCCCTTCCCTCATTTTAGTTTGATTCCAAGCATTTCCGTTTGTTTAAGAATGCATTGGAGTTTGTTTCTCACATCTAAAGATGGTAACCTCTTGCTTGGATGACGACAATGCGCTCTACATGGGGCTACCTTTGAAAACTGGATATTACAACTAACACAGAATAGGGCAGTGCGGCTGCTTACACAGAGCGGGTGGTGAGAACATCTTCCACCAGTCCTCCGTCAGCTGCACCAGCTCCGTTCCAGACCAGATCCAGTTCCAGGTGTTGCCTTTGACAGATGGAGCCCTAAACGGGTTGGGACCAGGGGACCTGAGGGGGCACCTCTCTCTGTCTATTCCTACCTGTCCACTTAAATCCTCTTTGGAAGTCCTCCTCCGATTGCCCTCCCCTAGGGAGATCAAAGGGGAGAGGGCTGGGAGGGGGCATTCGCAGCTGTAGCACCCAAATTCTGGATTTCACTCCCCAGGCATATCCGCCTGGCGCCTACTGTTCTTTCTTTTAGCTGCCAGATAAAAACTTTTTTACTTAAACAAGTTTTTGGTTAATTAGTTTAATTTAATGCTTTATATTTTGCTATGGATTATTTCTTTTAATTTTGCTTAATTGATTGGCTGTGCTTATTGGTGTGTGTGCATAAATTTTATTTGCTGACTTTTTTACTATTTCATTGTTTTATCTATTTTTTCAGATTATCAATTGTTTTCTGTTTTTATGCTGTTTAGCATTGGTAAGCCGCTCATAGAACCTTCAGGTTATGGGGAGGCACAGAAATGAAACACACACACACACACACACACACACGTATGTTCCCGGCCCTTGCCCACCCTCGCCAGGCCCCTGCTTACCTGCAGCCACTGGTGGAGGGGTTGTCTTGCTCCGAGCTTGCGCTGAGAAGGCTGTAGGCAATGGAGCTGCTGGGAGGAGAGGGGCTTTGGGAGTTGGAGCTGCAGAGACACGCAGAATTATGTTCAGCCGGGCTGGGCAGTCAATCAGCGTGTCGTTCGGTGGATCCCAAAGGCTTCTGCCCCACCCCGCCCAGCCCCACCCCGCCGTGTTGGCCCCGCAAGAGACCATCTCACCTGTACCTGCCATCTCCCATCCTCAGGGAGGCATGGCAGCCGCCAACGTGCCGCAAGTAATCACACACGGAAGGGAGGCAGGCGCGTTCCTCGCCCGCTGTGCCAACAGCCGTGCCTTAACTATAACTGGGAGGACTCACACCCAGCCCCGGAATGACACATTTTTGGAAGCCCAGCTCGAAAAGACACGACTCCCGGAACCTGTTTTCAAACAGGTCATTAGTTACGGGGAGAGAGTGAGAGCCAGCGTCCTGAGGGCCGGCCTCGCACACCCAGTCACACGAGCGCATACCTCTTGTTGCTTTCGGTCGTTTCCAGAAGGGCAGAGTCCTTGCCGTTCCCACTGCTGTGCGAGCTGCTGTGGGAATCGCCGTGCGACTCGTTCCCGCTGGAGCCATTGCTGTTGACGTCCATGTCGTCGTTGGCCTGGCCCTGGGCATCGCCCCCCCGCTGGGCTCTGCCTCTTCGGGGCGCTCCAGAACTGCCGCTGCCGACGCCGCCTGCCCCCTCAAAATGGTTCTGCACAGGCTCACAAGCAGCGCTCATGACTGGCTCTGGGACATGGGCTCCTCCTTGAGGAGCAGGGAGGCGTGGCAGGGAAAAGGTGGGGACTTCCACCGCTGCTGGAGCAGGGGCAAGGCTTCTCGGAAAGGAAAGGGAGCAAACTCGAGGGATGTTTTGCCCAAATTGTGCAGAAATGACTTGATCTGATTTGAGCACGTCTTGGGTAACACCTACAAGGGGAGACAGGGACAAAACAACACACAAATTCAGCAACGAGTCTGGATAAAATGCTCTCCCAAGCGTACGGCAGCACAAGCCCCTATGGCACATAGGAGGAAAAGCGGGAGAAGCGCTCCTGTGTGTGGAGTCTGATAGAGAAGACTTGGGAAAACTGCACGGAGCACCGTGGCGATGACTCTTCCGCACAGAACACACTGCAGGATCTCTTCACCAAGCGACTGAATGAGCAGCAGATGTCAGCTGCTACAGCTCAGATCAAAACATACTGCGACGTAATAGGGTTTGTGGCTAATTAACTAGTCCCTTGTGAGAATTCGGCGGCTGGGTGAACTGCTTGTTCCTTCAGGGGCCTAAGGGAGGAAGACCATGTAACAGGCCTCAGCCTCCCATCCTAGCTGGTGCTCCTGCTCAAGAGATGGCCACTCCAATCGCCTACCCAGGTTCTTGCACAGTCACCCTTCCATGTCCTGATCTGCTTCGACTGATCTGAAAATCCCACATCTGTTCCCTGGTTTCACCTTGTTCTGTTGGGTTGCAGTGCTTCCTTCCCCTCCCTCCTCCTTCCCTCAGCGCATGTCAATCACAAAGGAGATCAAAGCAAAAAAAGGGGGCATCTGTTTACAGACTTCAGGAAACTCTAAACTCGTCACAGCTTAGGGTTTCTGCTCTAGCCCTTTCGCAGCCCATGCATTACTGCTGCCATCTGGAAATCAAGATCAGAGGAAAATAAAATGCAGTCAGGAAGAATCCCCAGGGGGAAAGGGAAACAAAGCAGCCCTTCCAACGGCAGAAAGCCCAGAACTGGTTGTAGGTTACTACAAAGAGGGAGCCAAGATCAGTCTCCCAAGGGATGCTGCGGGAGGGAATCCTGGACTGACAGGCGGTTCAGTCCTGGACTGACAGTAGGTTCAGTCCGGTCCAGGACGACATTCAAGGCCCTTAATCCTTCTGCATCACTGGATGCCCTGAAAGGAAGAATTTTTAGAGGGTGCCCTTCCTTTTTATTTTAGGAAGAAAAAATGCAAGTTTTAACACTATTTTGAAAAAGAGTTCCAACATCAAATGCTCCCCCCTTTCCCAGTGCTCAGCTTATAAAAGAAATCTAAATATGGGGTATTGTGTTTAGCTCACTAATGCTTGCTTCCAGTGACAGGAAGAGAATCTTTCTCTTTCTCTCAGGCACATGCACGCGCGGATGCCTGCGCATGCGTGTACACACACACACACACGGGGTGGGGGGAGAGAAACAGTGGGGAAATAAAAGGACACTGCAGAGAACCATAGATGAAGTTGCCTGGCATGCGAGGCACAGCTTCTCTAATAATGGTGCTATGGACTAACGTGTAACAGAGGGAGTCTTCCCCTTCCCAGAGATGCATCTGCTGAATTCACAGCCATCCTGCTGCTCAAAGCCCAGGATCCCTGCCCCAAGATTAAAATATGCCCAGCACTGGTCACCACAGAAACAGGCTGCATGAAAAAAGTGGCAATTTAAAAGCAGCAGTTTCAAAAATGTGTTTACATAGATTACCAAAGCAGAATAATATCCAGATACAATCCAGCTACCCTGGAGACACTGAAGAGGGGTTGGCATGGCAACCATGCCCCAGTTCCCTCTGCCTTCCCCCTTCTTCATGCCGTGAGAGATGCTCAGTCCGGCAAACAGCAGTTATTTAATTGCATCTAAATCTCTTGTGTGCGCAAATGTATTTAAGAAGGAAGTCTATTCCTAGTGCATTTCTTTATCTCCCCCCCTTCTCCAGCTCACAAGGCTTCTTTTCTTCAGGCAGGGCCATTTGTCAGACTAGATAATACCTTGGCCTTGCTATGTTTAGCGCTTCTAATAATTGACACTTGCTATTTTTAACCTTAAAAACAGAACAGCTTCTAGTTTACAAAGCTTTTGTGGCAATGCTGCTGTGAAAGCACCCCCCCCCCCGGTGCATCCCGTAAATCTGACTGAGATCAGACTGACAGACAGGTGGAGCGGGGAGGCAGAGTTAACTTTTTAATTTATCCACAGAAGGGACCTGGATTCTGCACTGTGCTCACTCCAAGGAGGGCCCTGTTCCAGGCCAGGGTAAAGTTTTTGTTCTCCAGGAAGTGACCAAAGAAACTCAGGAGGCAACATGCAAGGTCCTGGCCGATGACTAAAGCAACTGTACAAGGCAGGCACATCAGGTGTTTGCTCCCTCGGTCTTTTGAAAACACTGGCACTTCTTAAAGAAACTTAAGAAGCCTGCGCTTTAAAATGGATCCTTGCGTTCTCAATGGTACTGCTTCAAGCCACAGCTGTACAGCTCAAAACAAAGAAAACTCCCACTGAGTTAGCAGGCGTGCGACTGCAGCTGCAGTTTGGCACCTCGGTGAACTCAGTGAGGACATCATGACAGGGGTAAAATGACTTGTTTTTAACGTGAGCATGAGCTCCGGATCATGCAGATTTTGACTGCTGCAGAGGGGTGTCCTGTCTGATGGACAGCAGGATGCGGTTCTGCATCCTGCTGCACCAACCGGGGCAGCTTCCGATATTGGCAGGCTTCAAACCGCAGCACGCTTGCTAGAAAGGAACGAGAATGTTTATCTAGGCTTAAGTCCAAGTGGACTTACACAGATCCACTTCGAAACGAGGCACAATGGACGGACAAGGCTTTCAAATTTGGGATGCAACTGGCTGTACGTTTTTTCCCATCCTGGACAAAGGAGCCCAGTGAAGTCTACTGAACCACCACCAAAAAAAAAAAAAAACAACTCCTGCGGCACCCAGGTTAAACTGCATGCAGGATCAACCACTAGCACAATCAGAAACTTGCTGGAGCTACTGCTGCTGGAATGGGACAGGTCGGTGTGACCCGTGGGATTGGACTCCATGAAGAGGTCATTTTGACCGATTTCTTACGGAGTTGGGGGTCATTCCCACTAGTGCCACATGTTTGGGCCTGACAGATTACCAAGGCTGGACGCCGCTCCTTGACTATAATGCCCATTATCCCCAGCTAGCCTGGTCCGTGATCAGGGATGATGGGAGCTGTCCTCCAAACAGCCTGTCCGTGAGGCGAGCTGTGGATTCTTTTTGTCAGCATCACTATCATCCTCAGCTAACGCTGAACGACCCCGGTCCCTGCGGGCTGACCGGAGGGGCCCCGCCGACCCAGCTGGGTCTGAGCACGCGAACACCATCCCAACTGCTGCGGAGGGAAGCGGCCCGAAGGGGGCCAGGAGCAGGGCGAGCCCGCTCCCGGGAGGCCCCGCGGACTGGCCCGGTAGTCCGCGCAAGGGGCCCCGAGGCCGCCGCCGCAGCCCCTTCCCCTCGCCCCGCGCGGGCATCGCTCGCCCCGCGCCACAGCCTCCCCCCCCCCCCCCCCCCCCCGGCCCATCCCGCCCCCCGGGGCGCCCCCCCCCCCCCCCCCCCCCCGCGCGCCCGCGGCACATGCCGCGCACTGGTGCGCCCAGCCCGCCCCGCCCCCGCAGCGCCAGCGAGCGGATTACCAAGCCTCTCCGGGAGAACATTCCGTTCCCAGCCTGACGCACGTGAGGGCGGGCGCGGCGAGCAAGGGCCGCGGCCGCCCTGCTGGAGCCCGGAGGCAGCGCAAGCGCAGGATGGAAGTCCCCGGGAAAGGGAAGGCTTCAAGAGGCTGGGGGGCTTCCGGCTGCAGCCCCGAGCCGAGCCCCCCGGCGAGCTACTCACCAGCCGCGCGAGAGGACGGTCCTGCCCCTCCGGCGCTATTAGCCAACGCACGCCTGGGACGGGGAGAGCCGCTCTCCGGTGCCCCTGGACCAGCCCGTGGCGATTCCCTTGCTGACCAAATACATCCTCTCACTGATCCGCCCGGAGAGCGCGCAGCGTGGAGCCCGCGGCGGAGCGGGAGCGGCGGCGGCAGGGACGCGCTGTGGACGGCAGAGCCCGGTTAGCCTTCGCTACTCCACGGCATCCGGCTCCTGCCAGGCGGGCGGGGAAGCGGCCCATTGTATAACCGGGGGCGGAGCCGCCGAGCCCGGGCCCGGTGACGTCAGCAGCCCCCCCCCGCACACACACAGCCCGCACGTGTACCGTGGTGCTGCCACCAGCAGGCCCCGCGAGGCTCTCATTGGCCGGCCGGCCCAGCCAATGAGGCTGCGGAATCCGGACTGCATAATGGCCCGCGGAGCCTTGCCATTCATCGAGGGGCAGCGGGGGGGAAGCGGCAGCCGCTGCGCCCGGAGGATGGGTGCCCGGTGCCCGCCCGCCCGCGCAGCGGGCTGCAGAAGCAAACGCAAGCGCCTCGTCGCAGGAGCGGGCTCACACGGGCAACCACATCCAGGGGCCCTCAGCATTTGCTAACCCCCCGCATGGTACCTGCACCCCGCTCGCCCCCCCCCTCTTCCCTCCCGCTTTGCCCATCCGCTGCAGCCTCCCCCAGCCTTTGGCTGTGCACACGATCTGGCCATCACTGCTCATTCCTTAGTGCCTTCTTGGTTCCAGGCAGTGTGTAACAGAGCGATCAGTGTTTGCTTAAAGGTACATCTGAGGCCAAGAAGCAAAAGGTGAGCAAGTCTCTCTCCCCTTCTTGTCGCCCCTCCCACAAAGAAAACCAGTTATCTGCCATAATACTAAAGCAGTTGACTCTTGCTTGTCACATGCATTTCATTTTCCAACTCTGAGCTTCCTCTTCATTCTGCACATTCCACCCAAGAATCATTTTATATTTCATGAACCTATGGAAAGCAGCTTTCATGCCTCAGTATCCCTTAAAAAATAAAGCCACCTTTTAAAGTACACTTCACTCACAAACTCTTCAAGACGGGGTGTCTTGATCCAGGTGTGTGGACACATGTAGCTAGGATTCCATGTAAGACACACCCCTAAGAATTGTGCACATTATGTAATCAGTTGCTTAGTTTACACAATTTATTCTACTTGTGGTAACTACCCATCTGGCTCATGTGCCTTCCAAAAGAACCTGAAAGTTGGAGTAGAAGAAGAGATTCCGCATTTAAAAGAGCAGCTCATAGCCAGAACAGTCATGAGGCAGCCTATGGAGGAAAGAAGATTATTGCAGAAAAGCCAGAATACATACACACACCAAACTTTAAATGTAAAATGCTAGTACAAATATAATTTATGACATTTAAAAATAAGGCCCAAGAGCTTCTAAGTTATCCTGGAGCTGCTACACTCCTTGGCCAGAAAGCTTGAAGGCTGGAGCGCATCCCACTGGCACGTTTCTCCTAATCTCTCCCGGAGTAAGTGGGCTCAAGTAGCCTTACCCATGATGTTGTCCCCCAGAGGTGTTGAGTTGCAACTCCCATCTACAACTCCCAGCATCCCCTAGCCAGCCATGCTTTTCCTTTCAGCGATGTGGCATTTTCCACACTGGAAGGGAAACCATACACAGGCAGCCATGAACACCTGGAAGAACAGAGGATACAAGGTCAGTGCACACAAGAGGCCGCTCATTTCTCCCTGGTTCTACTAAGCCTCGGAATAGGTCATCTGGGCATTTTAAGCAGAAGTCCTGGATGTGGGCGCTTCAGAAAATGGTTGAGTCCCCAGTGCAGATTTCCAGTTGCCATTCAGAGGACAAACGCTCGGCAGATGCGGCGTTCCACGTGGCTCCACCTAGCCAAAATTACCTTTGTTTGCATCGAACACGGTCAGAAAGGGAGCGAAGCTGCTCTGGATGACTCCCGTTTTCCCTCCTGATAAAGAGGTGCAGTACGCACACGCAAGGGCCTTCGTGCTTTCTTAACAAAAGCTCTCTGCCTTCATCATCCCGAACAGCGGACCCCCAGTGGATCCCTCGCTTCATCCCGTCAGGCCTTGCGTCCATGCTGCCAAGCGCCAGCAGCAACCGCCGCACTCTCTGGGGGTCCCCCCACAGGAACCCACGAGCTCTGCAGGGCCCGCTCTGGCCGCTCCCTGGCAGGAAGAGGAATCTCTGTGGAATTACTAATCCAGAGGCAGGTCATCGACTGCTGAAGAAGATGAAAGATGAACAAGCTCCACCTTGTCATGCTGTCATTCCTTATGAACAGCTCAGTGTAGAAAACTGGCTTCCTCTCGCCAGTACACACATGGTTGGGGGAATGTGCCTTTCTGCCCCACAAAAGCCCAACACGTCCTGCGACACCAAGCAGCGTTGAAAGAGACATGGAAAAATCTCAGTGCACCCTCAAGTAAACACTGACATCCCTGAATAAACCCAGAGTTTCAGAACTGCGTGCTCCAGCAGAGGAAACTATTTTCAAGAGCTGGGGCAAAGGATTTAATGGCTCTTCGTGGAACTGAAGCGGCAGCCAGTAAGAGTTACTAGTCACAAGGCAACTCCCCACCCCCAAACTACCTCCGTCTTTTCCATTTGTGGGCGGGGGGGGGAGTACAGACAACAACATCTGGCTGCTTCCATTCTAGCTTGTCTCACTTCCTCAATGAAATTTATAAGAGACCCAGGCAGGGATGTCTTCTGCTCAGAATCCCACTTCTTTTTATTTATTTTATATTTATATTGCGATTTACATCCTGCCTTTTTCCTACAAAGGGCTCAAGGCAGCTTACATCATTCTCCTCCATCTTATCCCCACAACAACGACCCTGTGAGGTAGGTTGGGCTGAGAGCCTGTAACTGGCCCAAAGTCACCCAGTTGGCTCCATGGCTGAGCGGGGACTCAAACCCGGATCCTCTGAGTCCCAGTCCCATGCTCTTAACCACCACACCACACTGGCTCTCCACTGGCTCACCACACTTTTTCAAGTCTTTGCTACCATAAAAACATTAGGAGGAAAAGCTGGAAAAGCTGCATGAGTCCTTCGGATTGGTCATGGGAAAAGGCTCCACCGCAGGAACAGGAAGAGAAACAGAGAGGAAGAAATGCTCCCGTGCAGGGGCCTGCACAAGACTGTTGCGACGGTGGTTGAGAAAACTGTTACACAGATCAGCAAGGAAACAGCTGCCAAGAAATGATGCCATCACAGAAAGCCACCCACAGACACGTAAGCTGAAAAAAGTAAGTGTAGGTTGGAATGGCTTAGTTTTGGAATGAGATCAGGAGCCGATCAAGGCTGCTGTGAGGGCCAGCAGAGGCAGCAGACCCCCTGCCCCTTAGAGGACATGCATATGAGGACCTCCCTTGCAGGGGTCACGAATCGCTGGAGATTCATTACGGGAGCCAATGAACTGCTAGGTCGAATCAACTTGCGTAGACCGCTCTGCAGCGCCAGTGGCCTGTCTAAAACACCACTGGGAGACAACAAAGGCCACTGCAGCGTATGATGTGCTTGATTCTTCAACTGCCAACAGAGGGCGCTGTTGCCTGGATGAAACACATGACAGATGAGCAGTATGGAATGGAAGAATTAAACACTGACCATGAAATGGAAAGGAGCTATTCCTAAAGTCACACAGCAGCTAATCCAGATCAAATGCGTTATGGCTGATCTTCCACAAATGTCCCACCTTCACACCCATTCTCCCACGATACTGGAACACAAAGGGCAGCAAAATGCTTACCTTCCTCCTCCACAGACACTAGATAATAAATGGTAAAATTCTCACCCCATCAATGAAACTTATACAGATTATATTCAAAAACTGGACGAGAGAAGCAAAAGCGCTCTTTCCTATTACAACATGTCCCCTACACAACCTGCCCTGCCTAAGGTTAAATTCCACACCCAGCAAGGAGTTGAGAAACTTTTCTACTTCCAGAAAAAAATACAAAGCGCTTGCTTGCTCTCTAGCTCCAGGAACAACATTACTTGATACAGTAATGTGCGAACTTTCGTATTATATGGCATCCTTGATCAGGAACAGTTCTGTGCATTTTAACAACCTACGTAATAATCCCACACCTCCTTACAAATTTGTCCAATAAAATGACATTTGTGTTGCCTAGTTTGTGCAGTATATTCTATTAGAGGGATTCTTGTTGAGCCAAGCCAGATGCCCTGGGAATGTGTTGCTGCCGCCAAGCACTCCCTGCATGAGGAGGACCCAGAAGCGGCCTGTCAGTCCAGCAGATAGGAAAGGAAGAAAAGACAGACTCAGAGGGGCTACTTGGAAATCTCTTTACTCAGAATTAAGAGAAAAGTTATGCAGCTGTGCAGCTCCAAACCCCAGTCCCCACTGCTGATCACCTGCTTGCTCCAAATAGCCCTAGTGAGAAACTGGGCTGCTCCGATTTCTGGCTCTCCCCGCAAGCTGGCCCCATGCCCTCCCCACCGTCTCTGGTTAGGGTTCCATTGAGAGCCCGGCCCCCATATTCCACCTACATCCAGCAGCGTCGCTCCCCGGGGAGAGTGCGTGAGCCTAATGCCCCCAAGAGCGAAGGACGGGTGTAGGAACGTTAGCCCTGAGACCTGGTGGCTCCGCTCTGCTCCGCTCCAGCTCGCGGCCTCCTCCCCGCGCTGCCTCGCCGCCTGCCGTAATCGGAGCAAGCGCTCCTTCCAGCGAGTGTGGGCCAAATTCCTTCCATAACCAGGTCATCTGATCAGGCTCGTCGCCCTGTCGCTCCTCTCCCAGCCACGCGTCTTACGTAACATTTCCCAGGCGCAGACTCACACGGACAGATGCGGGCTGCGCGGCGCTGCACGGCCCACGGCAGCGGGGGGGGGGGGGGGGCGGGGGGAGAGCAATGAGCCGCCTGCCGAGGCCCCTCCCCGGCCCGGCCCGCCCGCCCGCCTGCCGCAGAGCCAGCAGCTATTTCCACGCAGCGACTGGAGGAACAGAGGCGGTTCCCATAAAAGGCAGATGGGAACATCGTGTTCCTTGGCGGGCGCTGCAGGTTCAACAGGCTGCCAGCGACTTCCTCCCACAGCAACATGCTAATTTGTTCTTTCTGCAAAGATAATGAGGCAGCCGCAGAGGGGGAAGGAACAAACACTTCCAGTTAATCAGGGACGCCAAGGAGGATGTTGACAACTGCGTGCAGAGGTACGCATTTTGGAATACCTGCACCCACTTGCAATTCCAAATAGTTCTCAGTCAAATACCCAAAAGCTGGACAGGGGAACGCCAGCCCCTGCTCGGCTTGGCATGTGGCACATGGAACGCAAAGCAGAAAAGCACTATTTTTATTTTCTTGAACAGTATTTACAACCAAAATTCGATCAGTAGCTGCCGTGAAGGTCCCACTGCTGAGGGGGGGAGGGAGCAGGTCCTATTTACAGACGGATGACTAAATGGACCGAGAAACCCCCCAGGATGCTGTGACAAGACATCACGCACGGGCAGAGCCCGGAGCCGTGCGAGCCACCCCGGCGGAGCCTTCCGCCACTGGGCCTTGCAGGTCAGAAGCGTCTGTTTGCAAACAAAAGCTCCCCTCCCTTTCTTTCCGCAGTTCGCCCCGAGCCTCGCTTGTTCCGGGAAGACACTGCCCCCTGCTGGAAGTACCCCGCCTGCCGCAAGCCCGGGCGCCTGGCGGCGGCTTTGGGCCAAACCGCCTCGCCCAGATACGCATTTCGACGGGACGTGCTGTTCTAGAAAGGCTAAGTGTAACTGGGGCAGCCCTGGAGGGCGCAGCACAGGGCAGAGGCTCTGGGAAACCGGGCTCTGCACGTGGATCAACAGCCCGGACACACACGCCCCGGGAAAGTGCCAGCACCAGGAGCGGAGGCGCTGCCGCCCCATAACCTTTCCCCTACTGTACACTCGCAGCCCTTTTGCTGAGTCGGGAAGCTGTTGCAGGGGAGGAGCCAAGCCCCAAGTCGCCATCATCCTGCCAGCTGGACCGCTTAAAAAGGGTTCCAGCCGCAGCCCCCCCCCCCCGTTTCAAAGCAGCACATGCGATCCCAGCCACCCAGAGCACCGCCTGCTCTTCTGTTTCGAGGCGCACTGCAGTCCAGAGCAGACGTGCTTCCCATCACAGCGGATGCCTGAGCGGGTTCAGAGTTAACATTTCTGGACAGCGCGTGAAAGGAGGTGGGGCGCGGTGAGTTGTTGCTATAGGCAAGCCTTTGTTCCAATGCTTGCTTTGACTCGTTGTGAAGACCCCTCCAGCGCCTCCCTCACTGGGCAGCCCCATCCTGGACAGAGTCTCTTCAAACCCCCGCTACCCTCTCAGCTTTAGGTCCTGGATACAAAGGTAAGATAGACCCAAGCCCTTCTCCTGGATGTTCCTTCAAGAGCCAATCACCCGCAGGAACCCGTGAATACAGTCGATCTATTTCCGTGCCTCGATGTTAAGTCATTCCTTCTCTAGGCGCCGAGCTGAGGGTGCTTAATCCCAGCACTGGTGACTGTTAATTATAAACGTTCCAGCAAATGGAGCCTTGACCTGCCGGAATGCCTGGGACTCGGATGTTCTCAGCCATAATCCCGCTGCTGTTTCGCTCCGCGGAGCCCGCTCATCTCTGTCAAAAGTTAAGCTGCACTTCAGCTGTTCTTTTTCAGTGGCACAGTTTGTCCCACCATCTGCCTGTCCCAGCGGCACAGCACGTATTGCAACGCTGGCCAGAGCGCTCCACTCCAGCAAGTTTTCTGGGTCATCCGATTTCTTCGGGGTTTTCTTAGGCAGCCAGGCAGAGTTTTTTGAATGTATGCATATTCCATTTAAATAATTTTAGGTACATTTAGCTTCTGCTGTGGAAGAGCCATGAATCCCTATCAGTGCAGAGTTCCGAAGTCCTAAATGCTCGAACTTCAGGCCGCATTCAAAGCAAGGCTGATATTTAGCTGTCCACATACAATTCCTTCTTGTCTGTCTTTCTTTCAAAATGTATTTTTCTCAGAGCACACTCAACATGCACCATCTTGCTGAAAACATGAGCAACTACAAACCATCTCTAGATGCCAAATGTGGGACCCAATAAACTGCCAGGACAGTGCATAGGAGGGGAAAACTAATTGCAAGAGAATATGTCAGAATGCCACCCTCAATAAGTCAGGCTGTTAAGTAAAAGCCAGGAAAAGGGGAACAGCAGTAGGAAAAGAAGCATTCAGCCACACAATGCGATTCCCTTAAAGAGGGGAAGGAACAGCGCTTTAATTCTTTCAACAAACTGTCAGAGAAATGGACCCTCAATTTATGTAAGGAGTGGACAAACACAATTTGAAGGAGGGTGTTTGCAGATGTGTCCCCCCCCCCCATTTTTCCCCCCTTGATGTTAGTTTGTCTGCTAGTTTGGACTTCAAGAGCAACCAAACAAGCTCAGTGCAAAGGAGAAACTATTCCACTCCCTGGCTAGGCTGACTGCCAATGCCTCAAGTATTTCAATATGAAGAAACATATTAATCAATCCGAGACAAGAGGGGAAATCCACACTGAAGGTTTTGGAAGAAAGCTGGAGAATCAACTCCTTCCCACCTTGGAGATTTGAGGTCTTCCCAAGCAAAAGCCACCAGTCCTCATGCTACCCTCACTTCAAGAGAAGCCAAGGAGGCATTCCCAGGTTGCTTTGCTCTTCCTTCTTTGCTAGCAGAGGCTGTACTTGGATCTATTAAAGTCCAAGCAAGAGGGGAGACTATACCATGCCAAGTGCCTGAAGGGGAACAACACGCGTATTTTGGGCTCACTGAATAGTCTGGGATCATTTGAGCAGCACCACTGCAGAAGCTAATGAGGTATGGAGTTAACCTGTCCCTCAAAGAGTAG